CCGCAGAGCGATGTGCTTCGTTCTGTGCTCCAGTCTGTGCTCCTCACACAAGGCAATGGCAGCCTTGTTGTCGACGTACAGCACTGGAGGAGAACGAGGCCGCTCTCCGAGGTCGGTCAGCAAGTAGGTCAGCCAGCGTAGCTCCTGGGCAGCCATGGCTGTGGCGTAGATCTCAGCCTCACAACTGGAGCCGAGAACAGAAGAAGAGCGCGTAGAGCGCCAAGAAACTGAGCCAGAGCCAAGGCTGAAGGTGTAACCCTGAGAAGAGCGCTGAGTGGCCTGGTCGTCTGCCCAAGAAGCGTCTGAGTGCCCTGTGAGAACAACTCGGTCTCGCCCTCCAAGCACAAGCCCCATGCCCGACGTACTGCACAAGTAGCGCAACACCCTCTTAGCGGCATCCATGTGCTCCTTCCTGTGACGGCCAGGAGCGACATAGCGCGCAAGGATGCTAAGAGGGTATGCAAGGTCAGGTCGAGTGCAGGTCATCAGGTACATGAGGCAGCCCACAAGCTCTGGATACGGGCCACTCGGCTCTACGGACTCATCCGAAGGCAGAGCTGAGAGCGACTGGCCGGTAGGCAGAGGAGTGGACTGAGGCGAGGAGTACGTGAAGTGGAAGCGCTGGAGAACCTGCTGCACCATGTGTGACTGGGTCAGGGTGATGGTGCGCCGTGCTCTGTCCCGGGTGATCCGCAAGCCAAGATAGCTTGTCAGCTCACCCAGGTCTGTGCACGTGTGTCTCCTCTGCAGCTCCGACTTCACGTAGGCGAGTCCTGCAGTGTCAGCAGTGGCAAAGACCAAGTCGTCGACGTACACGAGGATGTAGAACGGCGGCAGCGACGTGTCGGTGCGCAGGAACAGCGACGGGTCAGCTGTAGAAGGCGCGAACCCAAGAGCCGCAAGTGTAGTCCTCAGTGTGTCGTGCCACTCACGCGGAGCCTGGCGGAGACCGTAGACCGGCCGCTGAAGCCTCCACTGGGTACCAGGAGGAAACGACCCAGTGAAGCCAGGAGGGCGGCGCAGCCAGATCTCCTCGTGCAGGCTGCCCTGCAAGAAAGCAGTGCTGAAGTCAAGTGAGTGAAGCTCGTAGTCGCGGTGAGCGGCTATGTGCAGCAGCACCCGAAGAGTGGTCATCTTCGGGGTGGGGGAGAAGGTCTGAAAGAAGTCAACTCCCTCTCGCTGACTGAAGCCTCGAGCCACGTAACGCGCCTTGAAGACAGGCGGAGAACCCGGCGGCCGCTTCACCCTGAAAATCCACATGCCACTGACGATGTTCGCCCCAGGAGGGGGAACCTCGTCGACGTAGGTGCGTGTGGACTTCCAGGAAGCCATCTCGGCGTCCATGGCTGTCTGCCACTGAGAGGAGTAGGGACCCGCCATCGCCTCAGCGTAAGTGCGCGGGGTCGGGATGTCTGGTGCATCCGGGTCTCCCTCAGGGGCAACTAGCAAGGACACGAGACGGGGCAAAGCAGCAGCAAGACACTGGAACTCCTCCTGTCTGTCCTCAAGGACGTCCGTGCCAAGAGCACACTCACCCCCGACGGACGGAGGAGAGACAGACTCAGACTCAGACTCAGCAACAAGGCTAGCAGCGTAGTCTAGACGACAGGCAGCAGCAAAGTCAACCAACTCAGCGACAAGAGCAGACGCAGCCGAGGACTCAAAGGAAGGGTCAGTGACAACAGTAGCAAGGAGACGCGTGACAGTAGGGTGCTCAGCACGATACCGGTCAGACGCAGGGTCCGGAACGTCAGGCAAAGAGGGCGCAGGAGGAGACGGTAGAGGGACACGCTGAGGAGCAGTAGAGGGACGCAGAGTCATGTAGTGAGTGCCTGGGACAGGAGGAGGACGCTCACAACGGACACGACTACCAGTGCGAGCAGGACGAACAGGCGACACAGGACGAGACTCAGGCTCACGACGCTCGGTAAGACCTCCTGTGGGACCAGTGTAAGGAGAGGGAGCAGGGAGAGGCGAGGTAGGCGGTAACTGTGACTGCGGCTGGACAGGCGGAGGACACTCTACGAAGGGAGGAGGACAAGGAGGAGGAGCCTGCCCAAGAACCTGCTGAAGGAGCGGTACAAAGTACGGTCGCGGCCGCGCAGCGTCTCCGGAAGCAGAGGAGACTCCAGCGGCCGGGTCCGCAGTACCAGTAGGAGCTCCAGCGTCCGGGTCCACAGCACCAGCAGCAGCTCCACCAGCCGGGTCCTCAGCACCAGTAGAAGCTCCAACGCCCGGGTCCTCAGCAGCAGTAGCAGTGCCACCGCTCGGGTCCTCAGCTCCAGCAGCAGCTCCACCGTCCAAGTCCTCAGCACCAGCAGCAGCTCCACCGGCCGGGTCCTCAGCACCAGCAGCAGCCCCACCGTCCGGGTCCTCAGCACCAGCAGCAGCTCCACCGCCCGGGTCCTCAGCTCCAGCAGCAGCTCCAACGTCCGAGTCCTCAGCACCAGCAGCAGCTCCACCCCCAGGGTCCGCAGCACCAGGAGCACCACTCCGAAGACTGCAGCGCCGTGTGTACCACTCGCGGATCTGCTGAATGGGGGGGAGCTCCTGGGTAGGAGGGGAAGTACCGGGACGAGCTCCAGCAGCACCTCTCCTGCAGCTGCTGGGAGGAGAGGGCTCCTCCAGGTGTAGCACGCTCAGGCTCAGCACCCCCAGACTCAGCACCCCCAGACTCAGCACCTCCAGGCTCAGCCGGGTCTACCTGGGACACACCTGAGGGAGCGGCACCCTGAGGGGGGAGGGGGTCTGGTACCTCAGCACCTGGAGCGAGGAAGAGAGGCGGGGGGGGGAGCGGGGCAGTGCGGTAGGGGAAGAGGCGGTAGTAGGGGACGGACTCGTCAAAAGTGACGTCCTGAGAGGCCAGGACACGACGCGAGGTGGGGTGGTAGAACTGCCAGCCAGGGGCGTCCGGGACAAAGCCAAGGAAGACGCAGGGGACAGTGCGACGGGAGAGCTTGTCCGCGGACGTGTCGCGGACAAAAGCTCGGGATCCCCAGACCCGAAAACGCGACGCATCGCCAGCCTCTCCCGTCCAACGCAGTGTCGGAGAAGTCTCGGGCAGGGAGACACGGGGCCAGAGGTTGAGCTGATGTGCAGCGTATCGGACTGCAAACGGCCACAGAAAATGGGGGGCAGCCGCATGGCTCAAGGAGGTACGAGCGACCTCCATGACCAGACCAATGCGGCGCTCAGCAACCCCATTCTGCTGTGGAGAGGCCGGAAGCGTGAACGACTGCTCAATGCCCTCCTGCTGACAGAAGGCCTCCAATAGGCCAGAGGAAAACTCCCCACCTCTGTCAGAGTGCAGACGCAGGACAGGGAAGTCGGAGCGGAAACGCTCACGGAGCTGGAGACGAGATCTGCGGATCCAAGGGATCAAGACATCAGGGACGTCACCCTTGGCGCGCAAGGGGAAGACCGTGGTGTAGCGCGAGAAGTCGTCAACAACAATCAGGAAGTACCTCTCCTGACCCTGACCACGGACGCGGGCTGGGCCCCACACGTCCATGTGGAGCGTCTGCAAGGGAGCAGTCGTCGGGGGAAAGGAGGAGGAGTGAGGAGCGGCGCGCTGCTGCCCCTCGACACAGGGAAGACAGGGAGGAGCAGGCGAGTCGGGAAGGGGAGGGAGCACCCTGGGAAGACCAGCAACAAGGTCCCGTTTGTGCATGGCCCGAAGGCGCTGCACAGACGGGTGACCAAGGCGGTGGTGCCAGAGGACAGTCTCATGCGCCAGAGAGCGACACGAGCAGGGGGCGGACAGCTGACCTGACGCAGACGCAGACGCGGACGCAGCTACCTGAGGGGACTCAGTGGTCAGTGTGTACAGGTCCGACCCCGGCTCCCGAGTGAAGGTAGCCAGGTGGCGACCCGTCCGAGCACACGTGCAGTGTGTCACGCGCTCGTAGGCAGGGGTGAACTGGTGAACACCCCCGTCCTGGAGTGCACTACCTGCCACCAAGTTCGTAGAGAACGAGGGGAGGTAGAGACCTGACAGCGTGCCGGACGGGACCGCCGGACAAGGAAGGACAGTGGAGGAGGTCGCAATGACCAGACCCCCAGAGGGGTCAGCAAGGGAGACAGCAACTGGCCGAGCGAGTGGCTCAAGGACAGTGCGGTCACGGAAGAAAGAGCGAGAAGCACCTGAGTCCAGTGTGAAGGTGTGCAGTGCTGCAGTCGACTCAGTACCAGGGGGCACGGACGCACGAGCACCTGGGGCTGCAGCCTCACCAGGACCTGTGGGAGCAGACGCACTAGCACCTAGAGCGGCAACCGGACTGGCCTGAATGCCCGGGTCGGGCGGAACACGCAAGTACTGAGCACCCTCTCCACTAATAGACATCGCATACATGGCAGTGAGAATAGCATCAAAGTCTAAAGCCCAAATATCAACACCCCTCTTTTCCAGATCAGCCCAGCGCGGCAGCTCAGTGGCAGCAGGAAACTGAGTGCGCCACGCGTCGGTAAGGCGCGCGAAGCAGCGCTGCGTGGGGTGCGGCCTCCCACACTGCTGGCCGCTGCGGTCACCTGTGCGAATGACGTACGTGCAGGTAACGCTACGCTGCGCATACCACTCACGAGCGGCCTGAAGCGTCGGGGCGGGCTGCTGACTCTGCCCTCCGCCAGTGCCTCCACGACCACCACCCCCACCGCCGCCGCCCCGGCCACCTCCACCCCTGCCGCCGCCACGACCACCTCCGCCTCCGCTGCCGCCTCCACCACCACTCCCACCGCCGCTGTCTCCTCCCCCACTGCCGCCACTAGTCTCCCCAGCCGCGCCTCCACTCCCACCGCCTCCACCCCCACCTCCTCCGCCACCACCCCCACCCCTGCCCCCCTTGCTCCTGCGGCGCCCGCTCGAAGCAGACGCGGTCCCGACCTTCTCAGCACCAAGAAGGTCGACAGCAGCAGCAGAGGCGACAGAGGGGAGGAGGGGGGAAGGGGAACACCCCTCAAAGAACGGGGTGCGGGGGTCGCCACGAGAGGTGCCTACAGCGACGATGCTCGCCTCAGCTGCAAGCAGTTCCTTCTCGAGGAGGGCAACAGTGAGCTCAGTGGGGGAGCGAGAGAGGAAGTGGTCCCTGACTGCGCGCAGAGAGTCAGGGAGGCGGGTGACGATGTGGTAGAGAGTGATCCAGAGCGGGGGGGGGGGTTGCTAGTGAGAAACTCGGCAGGCATAGCAGCGCGAAAGCGGGCCTCACTAGTCTTAAGGTGGGTGATGAGGTCTGCGACAGTGTGAAAGGAGGCTAGGTCAGGGAACAGGTAGGGGAGAGTGAGGCGGCCTAGCGTGGCAGAAGCGGGTGAGGAGTAGCGGGCAACTACAGCAGTGTAGAGGTCCCTAGCAGTCTTGCACTGGCCGAAGTGCTCGCGCTCGTCTAGCGGCAGGGAGTTGCGAATAGCAAAGCGAGCGTGCGCATCACGGGTCTGCCACTGAGAACGCAGAGTGCTGTCAGCAGACGAGTCAGGGGCAGTGGCATGGCCTAGGGCGTGGTCGTACAGTGAGATATCTTCCTTGGCAGTGAGCTGTAGGAACAGATGCAGGTCATCTAGCCAGGTTTCGAACTTCACTGGACGGCCCTCGGCATCGAAAGCTAGAACTGGCGGACTAGCCATGGCGACAGTAGTAATAGAAGTAGTAGCAGTAGTACGGTAGGTAGTAAATAACCAACAGTGAGAGCGAGAGCCTCGCGGGCGGAAGTGGCGCACGGGCAGTAGCAGCGTGGGAGTAGTAACGGCGCACTAGCAGCAGTGCGTAGGTAGCAGCGGAAGCAGCGGTGTACGAGCGGCCGCGGGCAGCAGTGGCAGCAGCGGCAGTAGTGGCAGCGGCGGCAGCAGCGGCAGCGGCGGCAGCGGCGGCAGCGGCAGCAGCGGTAGTGGCGGCAGCAGCGGCAGCAGCGGCAGCAGCGGCAGCAGCGGTAGTGGCGGCAGCAGCGGCAGCAGCAGCAGCGGCAGCAGCGGCAGCGGCGGCAGCAGCAGCAGCAGCGGCAGCAGCGGCAGCCGCGTACGGGTGGCAGCGGGCCTGCGGGGCCACGGCGGGGTGCGCGCGAGCGGGCGACGGGCGGCTGCAGCAGCACGCGGGCAGCGTGCGGGGCGGGACTGGGTCGCGGGGGCCTCTAAGCGGGGCTCGACGGGGCCGTGGGGCCGCTAAGCGGGGCGCAGCGGGGTCGAGGGGCCGTGTGGTGGCGGGCGACGGGGCCGCGGGGCCTCTAAGCGGGGCGCGCGCGGGGTCGACGGGGCCAGCGGGGCCTCTAAGCGGGGCGCGGGTGGGGTCGACGGGGCCAAACGGGGCCGTAAGCGGAGCGCTCGCGGGTCGACGGGGCCAAACGGGGCCACTAAGCGGGGCGCGAAGGGGTCGACGGGGCCAAACAGGGCCGTGAGCGGGGCGCGCGTGGGTCGACGGGGCCAAACGGGACCGTAAGCGGGGCGCGCGTAGGTCGACGGGGCCAAACGGGGCCTCTAAGCGGGGTGCGGGCGGTTCGACGGGGCCAAACGGGGCCGTAAGCGGGGCGCGCGCGGGTCGACGGGGCTAAGCGGGGCCACTAAGCGGGCCGCGGGCGGGTCGACGGGGCCAAACGGGGCCTTAAGCGGGGCGCGCACGGGTCGACGGGGCCTCTAAGGCGCGACGCGCGAGTCACTAAGGGGCGGCGCGCGGGGTCGACGGGGCCTTAAGGGGCCGTACACGAGGGCGCTGAGGGGGAGGCGCTAACGCGACGCTCCGACAGTAGATAGGTAGGTAGGTAGTCAGTGGTGGGCCCTAAGAACGGTCCTAGCGAAGGACCTGCTCTGATACCATGTCAGAATGAAGAGACTGGAATGATGAACTAGCAAAGATTGTGAGTACAAATATGAAACCCTAATGCTGTGACCCCCCTATAGGCTAACCCACTACAGCCTACACAAATATAACATGTATAATGTTTGACAGGATCCACACATGTGGAGGAAGTGCAGCGGGCGCTCTTCATTCTCAAGGGCCGATGACCAATGATGCTAGCAACCCTTCCATGCCCTTGCTGGCTTGGCAAGAGGCCTAGACAAGCGCAGCCACGTGACTTGGTAGAAGAAAAACGCTCACTGCGAGCGCTTCTAGCCTCAAGACGCGCTAGGATCCACACATGTGGAGGAAGTGCAGCGGGCGCTCTTCATTCTCAAGGGCCGATGACCAATGATGCTAGCAACCCTTCCACGCCCTTGCTGGCTTGGCAAGAGGCCTAGACAAGCGCAGCCACGTGACCTGGTAGAAGAAAAACGCTCACTGCGAGCGCTTCTAGCCTCAAAACGCGCTAGGATCCACACATGTGGAGGAAGTGCAGCGGGCGCTCTTCATTCTCAAGGGCCGATGACCAATGATGCTCGCAACCCTTCCACGCCCTTGCTGGCTTGGCAAGAGGCCTAGACAAGCGCAGCCACGTGACCTGGTAGAAGAAAAACGCTCACTGCGAGCGCTTCTAGCCTCAAGACGCGCTAGGATCCACACATGTGGAGGAAGTGCAGCGGGCGCTCTTCATTCTCAAGGGCCGATGACCAATGATGCTCGCAACCCTTCCACGCCCTTGCTGGCTTGGCAAGAGGCCTAGACAAGCGCAGCCACGTGACCTGGTAGAAGAAAAACGCTCACTTCGAGCGCTTCTAGCCTCAAAACGCGCTAGGATCCACACATGTGGAGGAAGTGCAGCGGACGCTCTTCATTCTCAAGGGCCGATGACCAATGATGCTCGCAACCCTTCCACGCCCTTGCTAGCTTGGCAAGAGGCCTAGAAAAGCGCAGCCACGTGACTTGGTAGAAGAAAAATGCTCACTGCGAGCGCTTCTAGCCTCAAAACGCGCCAGGATCCGCACATGTGGAGGAAGTGCAGCGGGCGCTCTTCATTCTCAAGGGCCGATGACCAATGATGCTAGCAACCCTTCCACGCCCTTGCTGGCTTGGCAAGAGGCCTAGACAAGCGCAGCCACGTGACCTGGAAGAAGAAAAACGCTCACTGTGAGCGCTTCTAGCCTCAAAACGCGCTAGGATCCGCTCATGTGCAGGAAGTGCTGCGGGCGCTCTTCATTCTCAAGGGCCGATGACCAATGATGCTAGAAACCCTTCCACGCCCTTGCTGGCTTGGCAAGAGGCCTATACAAGCGCAGCCACGTGACTTGGTAGAAGAAAAACGCTCACTGCTAGCGCTTCTAGCCTCAAAACGCGCTAGGATCCGCACATGTGCAGGAAGTGCAGCGGGCGCTCTTCATTCTCAAGGGCCGATGACAAATGATGCTCGCAACCCTTCCACGCCCTTGCTGGCTTGGCAAGCGGCCTATAAAAGCGCAACCACGTGACTTGGTAGATGAAAAACGCTCACTGAAAGCGATTCTAGCCTCAAAACGCGCTAGGATCCACACATGTGGAGGAAGTGCAGCGGGCGCTCTTCATTCTCAAGGGCCGATGACCAATGATGCTAGCAACCCTTCCACGCCCTTGCTAGCTTGGCAAGAGGCCTAGACAAGCGCAGCCACGTGACCTGGTAGAAGAAAAAAACTCACTGCGAGCGCTTCTAGCATCAAAACGCGCTAGGATCCGCATATGTGCAGGAAGTGCAGCGGGCGCTCTTCATTCTCAAGGGCCGATGACCAATGATGCTAGCAACCCTTCCACGCCCTTCCTGGCTTGGCAAGAGGCCTAGACAAGCGCAGCTACGTGACCTGGTAGAAGAAAAACGCTCACCGCGAGCGCTTCTAGCCTCAAAACGCGCTAGGATCCACACATGTGGAGGAAGTGCAGCGGGCGCTCTTCATTATCAAGGGCCGATGACAATGATGCTAGCAACCGTTCCAAGCCCTTGCTGGCTTGGCGAGAGGCCTATACAAGCGCAGCCACGTGGCTTGGTAGACGAAAAACGCTCACTGCAAGCGCTTCTAGCCTCAAAACGCGCTTGGATCCGCACATGTGCAGGAAGTGCAGCGGGCGCTCTTTATTCTCAAGGGCCGATGACCAATGATGCTAGCAACCCTTCCACGCCCTTGCTGGCTTGGCAAGAGTCCTAGACAAGCAAAACCATGTGACCTGGTAGAAGAAAAACGCTCACTGCGAGCGCTTCTAGCCTCAAAACGCGCTAGGATCCGCTCATGTGCAGGAAGTGCAGCGGGCGCTCTGTTAAAAGAACTAGGCAAGAATGATTGAAAGGAGAGAGGATTTCACTAGCAGCAGTTGGGGTACATATAGCAAACCCTAACTGGGTTGTACTCGCTATAGAGCACCCCACTACAGGCTAGACAATAATAACATTCTGACACACCCCCATAGCCAAAGTGGGGTGTAATCAGTACAATGAGCAGGCATAGCAATAGTTCACAATTATAAGCAAAGCTAGAGGTGATCATAGAGGGCAAGTGAGGAGGAGGAGAAACTGTGAGGGCGAGAAGATGAAAGGCGCCGACTGAAGCTGCAGACACACGGGCAACAGGAGCGGCGCGCACAGTGGCTACCGAGCGCACGAGGGCACCGGACTACGGGAGTATCTGGCTCCGCGGCTACGACGAGCACACACAGGAGCAACGGACCCACAGGCGACTGGCGAAGCAGGCTCGCTGGGCTACCGAAACGCGCGAGGGCATCCGGACTACTGGCGCTGCTGGCGTCACGACGGCTACCTCCACGCAACCTCCCCCGACCGTCCCACGCCCCTCTCACACACCCCCTGCTGACACCCTAGCTCCACTTCCACGACACCCCCCTTAAACCCTAAACCTCGGCTCCCACACATCCACCCCCCTCAGCGGCAGCTGCAGCAGTGGGAGACGGAGGAGGAGGAGGAGCAGGGGACGGCGCACACACACGGCACCCCCATAGCTGCCACCCCCACACTCCTCACCCCCAAACCCTAAAAACGGGCGGAACGGGGGAAGGAGCGCGGGGGACGGCGAGGGGGACGGCGCTCGGCCCCCAGGACGCCACCACGGGGCAGCGAGGGGCCGCGCGCGGCTCCCCAGGGCGGCGCGACGGGAAATCGGGGCCGCGGGGGGTCGCGCGCGGCTCCCCAGGGCGGCGCGACGGGAAATCGGGGGGGCGGGGGGGGGGGGGGGGGGGCTGCGGGCGACGGGATCGCGGGGCCGCGGGCGACGGGATCGGGGGGCCGCGGGCGACGGGATCGGGGGGCCGCGGGCGTCCCCCACGGTAGGAAACCGCCGCGCGCCTCGGGGCGCACGGCGGGGAGAAAACCGCCGCACGCCCCGAGCGCGCGGCGGGATGAAAAATCCGTCGCACGCCACGGGGCGTGCGACACAAAGAGTAGTAGGAGCAGCGGAAGCAGGTGGTGGGGCCCACCCACAGGATCGACCCATCTGGATCGTCCTGCTCTGATAGCATGTTAAAAGAACTAGGCAAGAATGATTGAAAGGAGAGAGGATTTCACTAGCAGCAGTTGGGGTACATATAGCAAACCCTAACTGGGTTGTACTCGCTATAGAGCACCCCACTACAGGCTAGACAATAATAACATTCTGACACGCTCTTCAATCTCAAGGGCCGATGACCAATGATGCTCGCATCCCTTCCACGCCCTTGCTGGCTTGGCAAGAGGCCTAGACAAGCGCAGCCACGTGACCTGGTAGAAGAAAACCGCTCACTGCGAGCGCTTCTAGCCTCAAAACGCGCTAGGATCCACACATGTGGAGGAAGTGCAGCGGGCGCTCTTCATTCTCAAGGGCCGATGACCAATGATGCTCGCAACCCTTCCACGCCCTTGCTGGCTTGGCAAGAGGCCTAGACAAGCGCAGCCACATGACCTAGTAGAAGAAAAACGCTCACTGTGAGCGCTTCTAGCCTCAAAACGCGCTAGGATCCACACATGTGGAGGAAGTGCAGCGGGCACTCTTCATTCTCAAGGGCCGATGACCAATGATGCTCGCAACCCTTCCACGCCCTTGCTAGCTTGGCAAGAGGCCTAGAAAAGCGCAGCCACGTGACTTGGTAGAAGAAAAATGCTCACTGCGAGCGCTTCTAGCCTCAAAACGCGCCAGGATCCGCACATGTGGAGGAAGTGCAACGGGCGCTCTTCATTCTCAAGGGCCGATGACCAATGATGCTAGCAACCCTTCCACGCCCTTGCTGGCTTGGCAAGAGGCCTAGACAAGCGCAGCCACGTGACCTGGAAGAAGAAAAACGCTCACTGCGAGCGCTTCTAGCCTCAAAACGCGCTAGGATCCGCTCATGTGCAGGAAGTGCTGCGCGCGCTCTTCATTCTCAAGGGCCGATGACCAATGATGCTAGAAACCCTTCCACGCCCTTGCTGGTTTGGCAAGAGGCCTATACAAGCGCAGCCACGTGACTTGGTAGAAGAAAAACGCTCACTGCGAGCGCTTCTAGCCTCGAAACGCGCTAGGATCCGTACATGTGGAG